GTCATCAACACCGAGGGGAGCCTGAGAAACTGTCCCAGCCCAGAGGAGCGCACGCAGACATGATGACCAAGTGGAACATGAGACCCTGAGACAGAAAACAGAGATTTGTGGAAAATTTAAGAGTTTCATTGAAAAATTAGAATGGAGTATGGACTCCAGTTAGTAAAGACACAGCCACCTAGGTTCCTAAGAAGTGACAATGCACTACTCTGATAGAGACGCAGGGCTAACAATGGGGGAAACTGAGTGTCGGGAGCATGGGATCTTCTACTGTCATCCCAAGTTTTTCCTAAAAATACTCTAAAAAAAATGTAAAGGTTACTTTAAAGATGCTACACAGAAAACCACCAATTTGCAACCACCCTCCCCGCAAGGCGGAAGCTGTGCACTTTTCTTCTATTCCCCGGCCATGCACCTGAAGCCCCCCGTCCTTTGCTGTCAGTCAGCGCAGCAGAGCAACCGGATGACGACTCAGATCCTAGGAATTTATTCTGACTCAGGGACAAAGGTGATTATATTTGGAGATATTACTGTATTCTTAAGACTCAATTTTCAAATTGTCCAGCATGAGGTGGTCATTTTAAGTCTGAACTACAACTGCTTTAAGAACACGGCTGGTGTGCTCTACCCTCTTTGCTCCTTAACAGTCAGACTTGGTATTGGTTTTCGTGTTGAGTAGCACTATTTTCATGATATCTCTACAGATCCAGCATACATATAGGAAGTGTTTGATCCAGGAGATGGTGACACCAGAATAAACTGAACTACATATGCAAACCAGAACTTCTTAAAGCTTCAATTAAAAGTTGAGAAGATCAGGTTTTAAAGTATTCTGGAGATATAAGGCAAAATATAGACATAATACAGAGTGTGGGAGAATACTGAAGCCAGAGGGGCTAGGCTCTTGCCAGACTCACAGCGGTTTACAGATGGGCAGGGAGCCGTGGTCATCTTAACACAAACCTTGTATAGAAAAAAAAGCCGAGGCTGAAGATGAGGGGCTGTCTTGAGCAATTCACCCAGCCAGCACAAGGGCAGGGCTGGAATCAAACAATTCAAGTCCTTCCCACACCTGCTCCTACAAGATCCCATAATTCCCTTTTGACCATTAATGTGTGACAAGGAGATGGCCGCACTCTCCACAAGTGCTCTTCGGTCATGGGGGCAGGAGGGGTGGGGGCATGGTCCAGTCTTACTGTTCCCAAATGCTGCTGCTGTCACAGGGATCTGTGGGGAACAAGGAAGCCACACCTGTCCACAGGTGCTCCAAATCCCCCTTGTCCTATCTATTCTAGCCAGCCGAGTCTCTGTGCCAGCTAGAATGGACGACCCCCAAGCATACATGATTACAATGGCTTTAGGGAGAGCAATGTGAGGAGACACTGCTAACTGCAAACGACGGTCAAGTGTTACTAGACTGCCATCTTGTGGCCATATGGCCATAATACATTTCTGAGGTGTCCCCAAAAGGTCATGGTTTCCACTTCCACTGCTTCCGTAGAACTTGGAATAATGGGGCTGGCAAAGGGGCATCATCCTGTACTCCCAACTCCAATATAACAGCAATAAGGATGACTTTGGGAAATCCCCTCTGGGAGCTGAGCTTGTACATGATTAAGTTTCTAGACAATGAAACACTTACTTGCATATTAGCATGTCCACTGTGATCTCTTTGCTGCAAGTGTGCAATAACTGTGCCCCGCAGCAGCAGCAGCACCACCACCCCAAGTCAGGCAGACATCACTAGATGCAAATCCACTCCAGCTAGTCCTGCCAAGGCAGGAGAAGCCATCAGTCATCCTAGGTGTGCATCCTCTGTGATGGCTAGTTTTGTGGGTCATTGTGGCTACTCTACTGTTCCCAGGTATTCAATCAGACACCCATCTTGGTGTTGCTCTGAAGGTATTTTGTAGATGTGATAAGAGGCCATGATCAGCTGACTTTAGCAAGGGAGAGTATCCAATATTTGGTTGGTCTGATTCAATCAGTTCAGAGGCTTTAAGAACAAAACTGAGAGGATATTCCACCTGTGGACTGAAGCTTCATCCCCTGCCTCAGAGGCTCAAACCTGCTTGCTGTGTCTCTACAGAATTAAGACATGCCTGCTCAGCCCCTCCAATCACCAGTTGCTCTGGTTGAACCTTGGAGGATAATAAGCAAATTCCCAAGAAGTCTACTTCCAAAAAGGTTCACATGCTCCCAGGCCAATTCCTTTAGTCTGTGTCTACAAGCTCCTGTGCTAAACTGAAGGACAGTCCAATTGAGATACTACTGTGTAGGTAGGACATGGGGCTGTTGTTCACACTTCCTGCTTCTCCCTAAGCTAGTCTCCTGCCTGGATACTCCGACCTGGAGCCCACCATCCCACCTTGTGCTTTGGCCCTCCTTGAGAACAAGGAGGGTCCAAGGACGATTTCTTCTCCTCATACATGAAGCATGGATGGTCCATGCCACAAGCTATACTCAGCACATTCCATCTCACGGTTGTGCCACGCCTGACAAGAGAAACCATAACCACGGCAGCTCTTCCATAACTAAGAGGGCATGAGCGCCAAGAGAACAAGGTTGTGGTCTCTGTTTAAAGGATTGCCTTCTCATGCACCCTGGGAGCATATGGTGAATGCTCAAGAAGTCTGAACTGATTAACCAACTGGCAGTGCACTGCACCTGGCCCACATGTTTGGGATCTAATCTCTTGCTGCTGAGGGCCCCGAGAGAAGGAAGAGGACAACAGCCGTGTGGGGATGATTCCAGCACTGGTTTGGGATATCAGAGTCCCAGGCTAAGCTCGGCAGATGGCCTTACCCACAGGATCAGGGCCTTCAAATCACTGTTCAAACTCACAGCTACTGAGTTCATTCTTAATGATAGCAACTCTATAGGATAGAGCAGAACTGCCCCTGTGGGTTTGCAAGGCTGTAAATCTTTACAGGACGAGATAGTTTCATTTTCCTCCTGTGGAGCAGAAGGTTAGTTCAAACTGCTGGCCTCCTGGTTAGTTGCCCAATGTGTAACCCACTACACTACTAGGGATCCTTCAAATCAGGGTGAATACCCCTCAGCGTGTGTGAACAGCACAACCAAACACGCTCAACTTTTTTAGGGGTTAGCTTGTGCATCCTGCTTTGAATTAGAGATCAAAGAAAAATCTGGAAATGTCAAAAAGTGTAAAGTTTTAAAATAAGTATTTCCAGTATTCTCATGCTAGGTATTTCCAATATTCTCATAATATATATATGGGGGGGGGGGCTTGAAGGCATCTTGAATAATAATAAAAATATTTGTACACTAGGAAACACATTATATATTGAAACTGAAATTGATCACTTAAAGGAAAGAAGAAAGCAGAATAGTAATAAGCTTATCTCTAACAGCTATCTGGTAATCATGACTAATAAGGAAAAAAATCACTGACAATATAAAAGCATTATCAACCACAAGGCTACTGAGGAAAATGATAACATATTTTATGATTTCAAGATTTCTTATCCACCCAACCAAACTCACTGCTGTTGAGTAAATTCCAAGTCATACTGACCCTATATAGCATTTCTTTTATTATTAAATACCTTTATTGGGGGCTCTTACAACTCTATCACAATTCACACATTCATCCCATGTGTCAAGCACATTTGCACATATGCTTCCATCATCATTTTCATAGCATTCTCTTCCCACTTGAGCCTGATATCAGCTCCCCATTTCCTATATACTGTTTCCCCAAAATGAAGACATCCCCTGAAAATAAGACCTACTTACAGTTTTGCCTCTCACTGAAATATAAGGCATCCCCTCAAAAATAAGACCTCTCCAAAAATAAGCGCGCCCCCTCCAAAGCTACCATAACTCTGGACTCCTGCAGCTCACTGTTGGCCGCAGCGCAGCTGGAGCAGACAGGAAGTGCGAGGTCTCTTTTAATAAAACAATAAGCAATAAACGTGTACCATATTCTTTTTCATGGAAAAATAAGACATCCCCTGAAAATAAGACCTAGCGCTTCTTTGGGAGCAAAAATTAATATGACACTGTCTTATTTTCGGGGAAACAGGGTAGCATTTCTAAGGCTGCAAATCTTAGTGGAAACTGACCGCCTCGTGGAACCACAAAGAATTTGAACTGCTGACCTTTGGACTGCAATTAGCAGTCCAATACTTACAAGATGTCTTAAGCAGGGCTCAAAAGCAAACTTAAGGGGAGAAAAGGGCAGATCTGACCACAGCAAAAAATAAATATTTATGTAATGGAAACCAATAATACAAAAGTAGTTATAGCCTCTTAAGTCAACCAAGGTTTCCTGGTGATACAATATTTAGGTGCTCGGCAGCTGAGAAAAAGGTTGTAGCTCAAAACAAGCAACCCCCCAAGAGAAAGACACGGTGACCTGCTCCTGTTGTCAAGATTACAACCTAGAGAGTCCTCTGAGGCAGGTCTATCATATCAGCATTGGCTCGATGGCACCCAACAATTACAACAAAGTCAACACGGGTGGTGGTGGTGGGTGTGTGTGTAAAAAAGGAAAAACAGCACAAGGCCAAAAAGCAAACACGTATCAGATACTTAACATTATGAGCAAGCAAAGAAATGAAAATTAAAATAACATTAAGTTGCCACATGACTCGAGGATGGCAAAACTAAGCAGTCACATAACAAACACCGAGGTCTGCGCTGCTGCAGGAACTTTGGTAGTGCAGTGGTTAACACGCACTGGCTCGCCAAATGCTTGGCAGTTTGAACCTGCAAGCTCCGCCATGGGAAAAAGATGTAGCTGTCTGCTTCTGTAAAGACTTATAGCCTTGGAAACTATGGAGGAGTTCTCCTCTGTCATATAAGGGTGCTATGAACTGGAATCAACCTTGATGCCAACAGGTCTTATTGAGCGCTCTGGGGTCACACCCAGCTAGACTCCCACCACCCCACAGGGAGATATTTGAGAGGCTGTCCACTCCACCCTGCCAGAGGAAGCACAGGGTCAACCTCATAACATAACGCCTTAAGGGTCACAGGAAATACACGAAAACCTATGTCACTTAGTGTTCAAAGACACGATACTCAAATACAAACCCAGAGATGAGCTGGAAAGATCTATATTAAATATCATGAGCTATGTAGACAGGCTGAGTAAGAGTGATGGTCAAATGGAGAGCCATTGGAGCAGGCAGACAGAAGATGGCAGGTGGCTCTCCAGGTGAGAGACAGAGTCTAAGAAGCTGGCTTGTCAAATCAAACAGAGGAAAGAGATGAGAGGGCAAGAGGAGGTGAAAACACCATGGAGCTTTCTTCTGTGGAACGATTTCACCAAGGCCACTTCTACTGAGTATACAATAAGCCTCAGTGGTGTGCCAGTCACAGATGCCAAGCACAAAGGAAAATGGCTCGGAAATTTTATTTACAAATCCGAAGTTGCTTTCAGTGATATTCTACATGAAATACTTACCATTGGGGTGCTGCATTGGACTGCAATTTTAGAAGGCAGTGCAGTACAGTGCACAGACTGTTTTGCAGGCTACTCACCTGCATGCCAAGTCAAGTAACCCTTCTCGGCTGGGGAAGAGGGTCCGGTGCTTCTGAGCATCAGGGCATCTTCTAAGAACTCAATCTTCTTGCTGAACTGCACTTCTAAAATTGGGATAACCTCTGGCATTTTTGCAGATATCAAACGAAAAGATATGTCTGGCTTCCCAATAAACCGCTGGCGTATGCTAATTTCATATGGTGTGTGAACCTTAATGTCATCTACATCATCTCTTTCAAATCTGTGAATGAGCATAGAATTTGAGTCATGGACTTCCAAGCCAGAAACAAGGATGATAAGCTTCCCTGGTTTCACATGAGATTCTGTTTTTTGGGAAATAACAGCAGGAATTTTGATGACTATTCCTTCTTTTCCAAAAGCTTCAGAACTAGACACTGAGGCACCCTCCGTGGGCTTTGTTTCTGGTGGCGTCTTCCAAAGCTTGGAACTGAAAGGCCACCAAGAAGGAGATTCCAGTTCTGTGAGCAATCTAAAAACAACACACAAAACACAGAAAACTGGGGTCAATATATTTGTAAATAGCAATACTTCTTTTGAAAACAGCGGTAACCTTCATAAAGCTCCATACAATATTTTAATATTTCATTTCCACATGCACACCATAAAACAGAAAAGGCTGGAGTTATTGTCCCCATGTTTGAGAAAACAGAGGTTCCTACCAGTAAGTTTTTGTTTTAGATATACTCAGTTAATCAGCAGTAAAGACACAACAAAAATGTATACCTTCGAACAAAAATATTGTTCTTTCTAAACTATGCTGGCTTGACATGCATAATTTTGACTCAAAATTCATCTAGACTTTTTATCCTATAACAATAACCCAATAAAACCTTTGGAAATAATGGAAGTTTGATATCTGCACTGTTCAATACAGTATTTAGGATCCCATGGCTACTGAGTACTTGCAATGTAGCTAATCAAAATGAGTAAATAATTTTAAAGTTTAAATGTGGCTAGTGGCTACTGTATTGGACAGCATAATTTCTAAAAACACAAAGAAATACAGATAAAAAGTCAACAGAAGAAAATGACAGGGACAGTAAAACAACAATCGCTTCAATGGCAGGCAGGAAGGAAAAAGCAAAGCAACAATCATCAGCTAGCTGTACCACAAAGAAAAAAGCAGTAAGATACGACGGTGGGATTAAGCTCAATCATAGCAGTAATCATATTATAGGCACATGGATGAAATGTGCTGACTATAAGGAGTCTTGTAAACCTGGGTTAAAAAACAAACAACAGCAAATACAATTCAAGTGATTTCTGTTGACAAGAGAGAAACTAGAAAGATGCAGATAGCGTGACATCAGAGAGGGAAGGTGCATCATGCCAAAAGTGAGGTTGAAGATAAGATGATGATCAGGGGCAAAGAGGAGCATTACCTGATAAAAAGGTGAATCCAACAGTAAGATTTAACAATACTAAGTGTATATACAGCTAACAACAGAACTTCAAAATTCATAAGCTAAAGTAGACAAAACTTTAAAAGAAATACACAATTAGAGTTGTAGATTTTAAAACACCCCTCAATGATTGCTAAGACCACACAAATGAGTAAGAATGTAAAAATCTTGAATACTATATTTTCCAACTTGATTAATATTATAGAAATGCCACCCCCCCAAACTGCTGAATACACATTTTCAAGAGTATCCAGAACACTTAAGAAACATGTATATAAAAAGTCTAAATCAATTTCAAAGGACTGAAATGTAGAGTATGTCCTGTCCTCATATAAAATTAGAAATCAACAAAATGATACCTAGAAGATCCTCATACATTTGGAAATTAAATACTTTTAAAAATACACTTAAGTAATGAACATTTGAACTGAGTGATAATGAAAACACAACATCAAAAATGGTAGAATACAAATAAAGCAATCATTAGAGAGAAATTTATAGCTCTCAATGCAAAAATTTTTAAATCTGGATGATTTCATAGCAGTGATCTAAGCTTCTACCTCAATAAGTTCTAGGAAGTGCAAATTAACCTAAGAAAGAAAGGAGCAACAAATCAGTAAAGCTGAAACCAGGAAGTGTGTACAGTATATCTATCTATATATACATATGTAATGGTTGGTTCTTTGATTTAAAAATCACTAAACCACAAGGAAGAAGTAATCGAGGGAAAGAGAAAGTGCAAATTACCAGAACTGAGAATGAAAAGGAGAACATCGCAGATCCTACAGAAAGGCGTATAAGGGGATGTGATAATTACGTTTACACAAATAACTTGGACAGCTGATATGAAATGGACAAAAAGCCTGAAATACTCACACTTAGTTAACTGATGCAAGGAAGAAGAAAAAAGGCCTATAAAGAAATGGAAATTGTAATTTAAAATCTTGTCATAGAAAAGAATATGGCTCAAGTGGCTTCCCTGATAAATTCTGCCAAGCATATAAAAAGAAATATAAATCATACAAAAATCCTCATAAGAACACTTGAACCTAGATGTATTTCTAACTGCTGCTTTTTCTTGTATATTTAAAATATTTCCATTCTATGAAAACTATTTAAATGTTTATATTATATCTCCCTTATTTTAAGACGATTATGACTATTAAAGCTTTTCTGAAAAAAAAAATCCTCTTAAGAATAAAGAGGGAGTGCTTTTCCCATTAATTTTACCAGACCACTATAACTCTAATACCAAACCCTGATGAGGGCATTACAAGACAAGCCCAAAGCAAATTCTCCCATTAATAGCTATAACTTCCTTAAGAAAAATTGGCAAATCAAATAATAAATAAGGACAATAACAATCATAATCAAAGAACATTGAGTCAAAGAATATGAAGTTGGCTATGCATGTGAAATTTTATCAATGTAATTCATTTCATTAACAGAAAAACAATTGATATCATTTTAACAATAGATTTCAGGAAAGAAAAAAAACTTACTAAAACTCAACTGTCATTCAAATGAAAGAAAGTGGAGTTAAAAGCGAGTCTCCTCAGGCTAATAAAGGGCACTGCGACCCGACAGGGCAGAGTCGAACTGCCTCCGTGGGCTTTGGAGGCGGTAACTCTCTTGGGAGCAGGAAGACTCATCTTTCTCCTGAGGAGCCACTGGGGGTTCCAAACAGCTAACCTTGTGGTTCGTGGCCCAACAAATAATGCATTATACCATGCTAAGAGTCAGAATCAACTCGATGGCAGTGAATTTATAAAGAAAACTTAGAACGAATGCCATACTTACTGGTAGGGGAACTTTGGCTAAATTTCTGAACTATCTAAACTCTGAAGTAATTTCTTAAGACACACACAGATCCAATAGCAAAGAGAAAAGTGCTGTTAGCCTAAAGTATTTAAGCATAATCTTACCTCTGAGAAATCAATGTCAATGTCGGACCACAAAGCTATGCTGATCTGGGGACAACCCTTAAAAACCAAAACAAACTTAAAAATTAAAAGAAGAAAAAGATATATATACACATATGTGTTGCTTAATGTTCATGGTATGTTGTGCAAAAGAGTGTGCTATGTGCTCTGGACAATGTACGACAATATATCATAAACAGGCAGCTGATCAAGTGCAGCTGCTGCCACCACTACCACCCAGAGGCAGTGTCTGCAGCAGGGGCAGTGGCGCTGCAGCAGGTGCCCTGAGCTGGGAGTGAGAGGCTGCACAGCTGCTGTGTGGGTGAATGAAACTGGAAGGAGATGAAGGAGTAGGAGCTTCTGGGGGTTAGGATGCACCCTGAAGGTCCACTGCTGATTCACTCTGGGAAGAACGTAGAGTCTTTAAAATTAGGAGAAAATGGTAAACAAAAGTTAAGTTTTTTTTTCCCTCTAGAGAGAGAAAAAAAAACCCTATGGGTCTTTGAACATATATATATGGTCAGATGTTGCCCAGAGGTTCAGTGGTATGTACCTGTATATACGTATAGCTGTGTACCTGAGTTTTCAACAAAAGCATACAAATATGCAAAAAAACAACAACAGCGAAGTGTGAGCTATACCTAAGAACAAAAAGGGGCAATAGAATGTGTTTCTGAAAGGACTCAGATGTTGAACTTCATGGTTCCAAATTTCAGCAATGCTATTATAACAAAGTCCAAAGCATTCAAAGAAACTACTAATTTTAAAAAGCATGATAATAATGAATGATTCATTAAATAGACATCACTAGAAATTTATATATCACAGAAATTACATAAAAATTATATAAAACCATAGGAAACTGATACCAAGAGCTCAAGTAGAAAGAATATATTTTGAAAATGATGATGGCAACAAATGTACAAATGTGAATGACACAATAGACACATGTATGGATTGTAATAAGAGTTGTATGATCCCTCAGTAAAATAACTTTTAAAAAAAGAAAATAATAAAAATTTATAATTTATCAAGGGGTCACAAGGGTGGGAGGGTCAGGTAGAGAGGGAAAAAAGAGGAGCTGACACCAAGGGCTCAAGTAGAAAGAAAATGTTTTCAAAATGATGATGGCAACATATGTACAAATGTGTTTGATACAATTGATGTATGGCTTGTTATAAGAGATGGAAGAACCCCCAATAAAATGGATCTATACAAAATAAAAAACATAAGAAATAAATTAAAATTCTCTTTAAAAATTATATGAGTGACAAAGTGATGTCATTATGACATAGCAGCCCCCGGTGCCCAAGCCCAACAGACCAGCTAGAAAAAAGCGAGCAGAAAGTCGCAGAATCAGCATTGTCATAGCTCTAGCAGCCAAAAGCGAATGACAAGCTGGCCAAGTGTGAATCGCAAAAGGAGGGAAACGATACACAAAGGGGTGAGGGCTCTGGGGAACTGTCTGCACCATTTTCTGCTAACTTAAAACTGCTCTAGGAAAATAAAGCCTAGTCATCAAACGGCAGGCACGTTTGGTTGTCTAAGTGCCTATGCCACATCTCCTTCCTGGCACGGTGACCATCGTAGAGCTGTGACAGCCAGCATTCCCAAGGAGGAACCCACGTCCTTGGCTCCGAGGAGAGGAGATCTTACTCATAAACTACTGTGTGTGTCTGTTCTAACTTGTCTGGGAGCTACCTGAAGACTAACACCCGGGGCTATGTCAAAACTTGAGCAGAAAAGCTGCATACATTGCCTGAAAACTGTTAACTGCCTGTAGCTGCTTGTGGCAAAAGAGTGGGATTGAGGGACACAACAGACTGGGAGTAGAGGGCAGTCAAACACACCTGGGTATGACGGCGGGTTTTACAAAGCCACACGAATGCTCAGGACAAGATTCATACCCAGGCTCAAAAAGTAACTGAAAAGACGATGCTTTCACCCAGGGTAAGCCTGGCTAAGTATTTAAAGAGTATGCTAACACACAATGTGGAAAGAAAGTGGGGACATTACAACCAACCCAACAGAAATTTTTAAAAAAGATTTTAAGGGATTATTATAAATAGTTCTATGTCAAAAAAATTAGATAACTTAGAGGAAATGGACAAATTCCCGAAGCACATAAACTCCTTGGAGGTGAA